ATTTTAACACCCTCAACACCCCCTCTGTCCCATATGGTGGAAAATAAGTGGAAAGACAGCTCACACCCGCAAGCAGAACAAAACAGGAAGGAGTGGGGGGGAGAATTCTGGGAGTTGAAGTCCACTCATCTTAAAGTGGCCAAGTTTGGACAACACTGGTGTATGAGATATATATCACCTTGACTTTTGAAAGGAAGGTTAATGTAAATATGCCCAGAATTCATTTTCGAATTCATAACTCAGTTCCATCTTCTGCATTTCCATTAGAAATACATCAGATAAAAGGGCTGAGAAAGATACCACCTTCCTGTGACAATCACAAAAGAAAATGCTAGATGGACTTGTCTCAACTTTGTGTCCCCAGTGTTATTGGATTACAATTCTGTAATTCCTGACCTCTAGAGATGGTGAGATTCATAGACCACAATATCTGGAAAAATTGAAAAAAAAAGTCAGTAGGGAGCTCCTTTTGTGCAATTAAAAAAAAAATCATGTTCAATTGCAGATGTTACACTGAAGATGAGTAATGCTTTTATTTCATTAAAATATCGTGGAAACATATTTTGTAAAAGAGTTAGGGTTTTCAATAACTTATTAATATTTACACTTGCAAATGTTGCTTTACAATTATTATACAAAAGATTCTGAAAACCTTTAGAGATGGGGAAGTTGTACCATATCCTTCACAGCCAAGAGGGGAAAAACAGAATAATTAACAGAATGTACTTATTTCTATTATATTATGGACATTAATCTACATTACAAGCATGTATTGGTTTAATACTACCTTCACTGTCATTTCCCAATCCTTGTAAACTCAATAATTCACTGTTCCCTAACTCTACATACAAAACAACGCTTCCAGAGCACCCTGAGGAAAGGAAGTGATGACTGAAACGCCTGCAAATGGGCCACTTGTAAATACTTCCATCAGTATGTGGTTGAACACTGTCCTGCGAGCTCTATCTCAATTCAATGTTAAGGCAACATCACTCAGCTGTTTTAAGCCCTGTTTGGGCTGTTGTGTATAAGAACTACATGACCAAAAAAAAAAAAAATGTGTAGGTCACACTGTTTTCACAGGAGAATCAATTCTCTTTTTCCATCCATGTCTCACTCATGGCCTCAGTTCTGTGGATTTTACTTCTGCCATATCTCCTTCATGGAGAGCAAGAGTTGCTTATTCTTTTCTCCTGGCCTATGACTACCTGAGAGGAAGGTCTAAGAACTACAGGGATGATGGACCTTTTGGGGAAGGCTTGTGTTCTTAACAACTGAGCACAGAGTTCACTAAAGGCTGCATCTCCTACCACTCCAATGTGTTGATACTGTAGATCTTCAATCTCCTATGTTGCTATAATGGGAAAAAAAGCTCAGTTACCACCGAAGATAAGCTGGGGAGGGAGGTTGGTGCTTAAATAGAACAGTGTGGTAACTTTGAGAGCTGTAATAA